TAGCAGCAATACTTGCGGTTGCCCCAGGACTGCCAAGCCTCGCTTTTCGGAATGGCTCTCCCCCTCCCCAGCTTCACATCTGGTTCCGGGCGGTGCTCACTGGTGGGGGGGACAGTCTTGGGGGGGCTAGGGAGGAGGAGGAGGGCATGGGAGGAGGAGGAGGAGGACAGTCCCCGCACCCTCTCTCTCCCTTTGCGCAGGCACTGGCCCCTCTTTGAGCAGTTTGCCCGCCGGGCCCTCCTCAGTAGCCGCTACAGCATACAGCTTCCTTCCGCGGCTTCCGCTTTTGACCTCTGCCCCCTGCCGGAGGACGGCAGCCTGCAGCCATTTGATGGGCGGTACCTTTCCTGCCGCGTCAAGAACATCCCCGCGACCTTCTGTGTCCTGCCACAGGTACGGCTGAAGAGCCAGAAAGCCAGGCTGCCTCTCCTCTCCTCTCTCTGTGCGCGTGTGTGTGCGTGCGGTGTTCCCCAGATCCGGAAGTCCTGGGACCGGCGCCCCCACGTCCCACTGCCCCCGGATGTGGCACTGGGTGCTGGCTTGGGTGGGATTAGGCTCAGGTGGTGTTGGTGGAGGGAGGGAGGGAGGGAGGGAGGGTGGACCTCTTGCTGGCTACGTGGAGCTGCCACGCTCAGCACCAGCAGCAGCTGCAACTGTGGGCCAGCCACGCGGGCCTCGGAGCCACTGCAGGGCATAGGATGCTGCCGGCCGGGGTCTCTTGGGCTCGGTGGACGTGGAGGGTGCGGCTGCTGTGGAAAAGGCACATTCCACGCTGGCCGTGATTAGACCGGGCATGAAACTGCCGCTGCCGTACGGCCCTTAGCCAAGTCTGTGGCGAGACCACGCTTGGGACGTTGGGGACCGCTCTGGTCACCGCGCCTGATCAGAGAGGTTGTAGAGCTCAAGAAGGGGCGGCAAAGAGCCACCGAAATGATCGGGGGACGAGGGCGGCTCTGCCCTCTGCAGATCGGCTAGCACACTTGGGGCTGTTTGGCCTAGAAAGAAGGCGAGTCCGGGGAGGCACGGGCAGAGGCCGATGAAATTACGCGGGGCAGGGAGAGACTCCTCTCCCTCTCCCGTAATGCTGGGGGGGCGGGGCTTCAGTATATCCACTGAAGCTGAAGGCTTGGGGCTTCAGGACGGAGACGCAATGAAGTCCTTCCTCACGCACACACACACACACAGATCGTAGAGTTCATCTGTGGAACTTGCTGCCACAGGATGTGGCAACGGGTGCCAACTTGGAAGGCTTTGAAGGGGGGGAGGGGGGGCTGCTGCAGCCCTCCTGCTCGTGGGCTCCCGAGAGGCCGCCTCGGGTGTGATCCAGCAGGGCTCCCCTCCTGTCCTGATGCAGCGTGTACTGCAGGTGGGCGCCCCTGGGTCACAGCCCTGCCTGCCTGACTGCCTGGGATCCCTCCCTGCTGCCCGGGAGGGAGGGAGGCTGGAGGGGCCTCGGCGTCTGCGCGTGGGGCCGCTGGCACAACCTCCCCCCAACCGGGGTGCCTTTCCCTCCTCTGCAGTATGAGCGCGTGCTCTACGTCCTGGACCTGCTCCTGGGCACCAGCCAGCCGGTCCTGCTCATCGGGGAGCCCGGCTGCGGGAAGACGTCCTTTGCCGAGACGCTGGTGCAGCCCAACCACTTGTGGCAGCGGCTGCGGGTCTCCTTCGGGCTGAGGGCTGCTCACCTGCGGGAGCTGCTGCAGAGGAAGGCCCCCCGCGACAAGGGCCCCTCGCCCTTCGGCAAGCCGGCTTGGGCCGCGGCCCGGAAGGGGCGCTGCCTCTTCTTGGTGGAGGACCTCCACATGGCCCCCCTGGGTGAGTGCCGGCCGGGCGCTGCGTCCTGAGGCCTCGGCGGGAAAGCTCCCTCTGTGCCCCCCCCCACTGGCTCCTGGGAGGCGGGGGCACGCGCTCCTCTCACCCGGCTCCTCCTCCTGCATGGCAGATCCCGGTCGGGGGACGAGCCCCGTGGTGGAGTCCCTGCGCCAGGCCCTGAGCCACCACCAGTTCTACCACGCCGAGACGCTGGAGCTGCAGCACTGCCCGGCTGCGGGCTTCAACTGCTTCGGCACGCTCTCCGCCCTGGTGCTCGGGGCGCCGCCACTGTGCCCCCGCTTTGGCCGGCTCTTCAGTGTGGTGGTGCTGCCTCCCCTGGCGAGGGAGGCCCTGCTCGGCATGCACACGCCCGCCGCCTTGGCCTGGCTGGAGAGGTTCCCGCTGCTGACCCGGCACAACGACTTGGCCGCCGCCCTGGTAAAGGCCACCCTGGACGCCTACGAGGCCGTGCGGAGCCAGTTCCCGCCCTCCCCTGCCTGCTGCCTCCTCCCCTTCTCCCTGCACAGCCTCCGGCGGGTGTTCAAGGGGCTCTTTCTGCTGCGCCCCCGCCCCGGCATCCACCTCAGCTGTCCCCTGGAGGAGCAGGGGGTCAAGGCGGTGTACAGCAGGCGCAGCTCGGCAGGGTCCCGCGTGGCGGTCGGCCCCAGCTACACCGTGGTGCTCACCGTCCGTCTGATTGTGCGCCTCTGGCTGCACGAGGCCTTGCGCACCTTTGGGGACCCACTGCGGGGGGAACGCCGCCAGGCCGCCTGCGGGCAGCTGCTGCTGGAGATTGCCACAGCCAATTTCTGCGCCCGGCGCCCCTTCCTGCGCATCATACCCTCCCTCGGCACCCAGAGCTCCCACCACCCCAGCCGGAGCCACATCTCCTTCTACCCTTCCAGTGCCTGGGCCCCCGCCCCCGAGGAGGAGGAGGAGGAGGAGGGGGAGGGGGAGGAGGAGGGGTGGGGATTGGAGCTGGAGGAGGAGGAGGAGGAGGACTTCCCCCCAGGCTCCCCTGGCCCTGAGGTGGACCACCCTGACCCCTGCCAGGCGGCGGGAGAAAGCCTTTTCGGTGCCGGCCCCTGACCAGCCCCACCCCCACGAGCACCACCCCTCCTTCCGCCAGGGCAGCATCTCCAAGGGCAAGCGCCGCATGTCCTCCAAGAAGGAGACCTCCGGCCCGCTGCTGCCCGCCCACATGCTCATGCCGCCGGGCGACCTGCCGGGAGACATTGTCTTCAGCAAGGAGCTGGGCCCCGAGCGCCACGGCCCCGGTGCCCGCAACCCCTACCAGGAGAGGCTGTGGAGGGCCCTGGAGACCCAGCTCGCCCCCTTGCTGCCCCCCGGCTCCCTGCTGCCCCCGGCCCTGCTGAGGCACGTGGTGCACCTCTGCCGCCTGCTGTGCGTCCCGGAGCAGCACGGCGCCCTGGTGGCCTTCCGGCGGAGCACGGGGCGCCGGGCTCTTGTGGCCCTCGCGGCGCGGGCCACCGGCTCCCTGCTGATGGAGCTGCCCCCGGAGGCCGACGAGGGGCCGACGCTGGCGCTGCTGCGACTGGCCAGCTGGGAGGCGGGGGTCCAGGGCCGGCGGGTGCTGCTGCTGGTGCCTCCCGGCCTGAGCCCGGGGCCCCTGCACCTGGGGCTGGGCCTGATGGGCGGGGGCACCTGCCCGGGGCTCTACGGCCCCGAAGACACGGCCCCCATCGTCCAGGCTCTGCTGCAGGAGAACCA